CTAATAAGTTTTTTTCGAATTTGAAATTATTAGGAATGAAATCAGACCTTTCTTCAAATGACGTGATTTCTCGAATTGATACAATTATAGACCGAAAGCAACATTCTAACATCCATGAAGATTTAATTCGTAACGAAGCACTTAAACTATTAAGATATATTGATGATAACTGGGACAAGTTAACCGTTAATAATGATCAAGTATTCTTGAATACACTGTTGGAAACTGAGTGGATCCCTACCGTTGACGCATCTGGCAACAAATACTTCTCGAAACCTCAAGATTGCTGTTGTCAAAAAGATAAAGATTTAGTTTGTCTGGTTGTTCCAATACTTGAATGCAAAGTTAAAAGCAAGGAGTTTTTAAAACATTTTAAGTGGGATACTTTTCCTGAAGTCGAAAAGGTTCTACAGCAGTTAGAGTTATGTTATGAATCCAGACAACCACCAAATAACTTGGAAAAGATTTGCAGCGCAATTTACGAATATATGAGTAAAACTCTACAAGCAAACGAGGAAATATTCAAGAGTCAATTGGAAAATAAACCGTGGATTTTACGTGAAAAAAAATTTTATTCAGCTGATAAGGTTGTTTTTCGTCTTCCAAGTAAATTTAGGGATAACGTTTCTATAATTGTTGAACTTCCCATTTTATATGCAAGCAAATCTAAGAATTTGTTTAAAGCTATGGGAGTTCGTGATGAAATTGGAGTCAAAGATTTTATTTTAATTATTAAAAATATAGTGGAAGAAAATAAGAAAAGAAGGCTTTCGGATGACGAAATGAAAAATGTAGTTAAAGAAATCGTTCAAGTTCTTGAACAGATTGCAAGGTTACAACAGGATAACAAGAGAGAAGGAAAGAAACCTGAAAGTTTGGAAGGATTATTAATTCCGAGCACTGAAAATGAATTTATAAACTTGGATGAAATTCAATTTGATGATATGGGAGATAGACTTGACGAAGAAAAGAGGAGTGAATTTAAAATTGCTCATCAACTCATGACCCTTGATATTGCTAGAGAATTAGAACTTCAAACCTTAACGGGAAAAATATATGGTAAATTTACTTTTTCTTGAGTTCTAAGTGTTAATATTTTATCTAAATTCTGCATTTATTTCGTTTACTAGGTATTAAATCCGGAGATATTGATTGGGATATCTATGAACAAGATGAATCCTTGACTACCAGAATCAAAAATATTATTAGTGTAACTATTTCATTTAAATATTAATATTTTTTTATATAGATGTTTGATGTTTTGTCAGATATTAATTTTTTTATTAAATTGTTTAGGACTATCCATTAGAAAAATTGTTTATAGAATTCCTTCAAGTAAGTAATAAGTTTACAATAGTTTCAATTATATGCGAAAACATTTATTAATGATTTCTCTAAATGTAGAATGCAGATGACGCTGGTGCAAAACAATTTTCAGTAATAATAGATGAAAGAAAAAAATTTAAGCATGATCCTTCTAAAAATTCTTTGTTGTCAGACGAAATGGAAGGTTGGCAAGGTCCCGCGATATGGATATACAATGATGCTGAATTTACTGATATAGACTTTCGAGCTTTGATTAAACTCGGAGTTGGAGGAAAAACTAGAGATGATACTAAAATTGGAAGATTTGGGATTGGATTCAATTGTGCTTTTCACGTCACGGATTTACCAAGTATTATAAGCGGACAAAATATTGCGTTTTTAGATCCAAATGCTAAATTTCTTACAGCACAAGGATACCCTCCCAGAAGGCATAGGGGCACTAGATTTAATTTTATTGATAAGGAGTTGTGGAAGTTTACAGATCAATGCTATCCTTATAAGGTCTTATTCGAATGTTTCGATTTTATGAAAGATTGCAGTTTTAATGAAGCAGTAGGATTCGGAAAGAAAACATTGTTTAGACTTCCACTTAGAACCGAAGAATTAGCGGAACAAAGTGAAATTTCAAATCGAACCATAGAAATTAGGGAGATCTTGCGTCGATTCAGTAATGTCCGGGGTATCAAGGAGATGCTCTTTTTGAGGAATATAGAATCATGTAGTCTACATCACATAAATGAACAACAAGAAACTCGAACGATATGGGAAGCGAATATTCACATGACAGATGCTTGTCGCAAAATCCGTAGTAGTGTAGCTGATACAATGCAAATATATCAATTAGATATTGAAAGAATCGATAACAGGACAGTTTCAGAAATGTGGTTGTTATGTACAGGAGGAAATGAGGGAATCAATTCGGAATTTAGAGAGTTTTCAAGAGAAAGACGACTCAGGGTAAGGTTTTATTATTTAATCTTATATAATATATTTAGTAACATAAATAATGATTCTTTGATAACTTTTATGTTTGACAAAGCCAAGAGGTGGAGTTGCTACATTACTTGCTAAATCCGATGAAAAATCTTTGGAAGAATTGAGAGCTGAACCGGTAAAGCGTAATATTTATTCAATCGTTGTGAATTGCTGTTGATCTATTATTTTAACAAATGTTAATCTTATCGATTTACAGTTTTCATATCCCGAATTCAGAGGAGAAATTTATTCATATTTACCTATGTCAATTGCTACCAACTTGGGAGTCCATTTAAATGGAAACTTTTCTCTGTCTAGTGCAAGAAGTAATATTTCACAATCTGAAAATGATTTTCTGCAAGCCGATTGTAACGATGCAAAATGGAATCGATTTATTTTGAATGATGTTTTGCCTGAATTACATGCTAAATTGCTCGATCATATTGCGTTGCTCAAAGAAACTAAATGGAGGGAAAATAGAACCGAAGTTATTCCACATCATCTTTGGCCTATTAAAGATAATTTAAATTCATACAAAAGCTATGGATTAAATGTTATTATAAAGATGTGTCTTCGTGAGTATAAAATCTTCTGGACCGAAGCTAGCGGTGGGAAATTTGTTTCATTAAAAACAGCCAGATTTCTTAAGGGAGAAGATCCTATAATTGCGAATATATTAGCCGATTTAGGAGTCTTGGCGGTGAACTTAAATGAGGAAAATTTTAACCAACTTGAGGAAGCTAAAACTAATAGTAGAAATCCAAATTTCAAGTACACGTCTATTGACGGAAGATTGGTTTGCGGAGAATGTCAAAGGAAAAAATTGATGTTACCTTTCAAGAAAGAGAATAATAATCATGATTCATTATTTAAATTTCTTAATTTTATCCTTAAAGAAAAAGATAAAAGTACTTATAGATTGCTTGCTGGATTACCATTAGTTCCACTAAGTAATGGTTCAGTTGGAAATTTTGGCGAAGTTCATTATATTGGAGAACAAGAACACCTAGACCTATTTCCAAGCATTGGCCCATCGAAATTTGTCACCGTTAACTTACCAAAGGAACTTGCAGAAATTTTTACAGATGATGAGTTTTCTGAAATTACACATATTAAAAAGTTTGATGCCTTAGCAATTTTAGATCTTTTAGTATATGAACTATCATTTTCAGATATTGAATGGGAACCTAATGGAGATATAGTACCATATAATCGTTGGCTTGAAAAAATTTGGTCAATACTTATTACTGATGCAGAAAAGTTAGATTTTACGATACTTTCTAGCTTTCCTCTATTACCAATGACTGAACCTTCCATTATGATTGTTCGACCCGATATAACAAATCCACTATTATATGACAATGAACATATCTTAATTCCAATTTTAGTAAAGCTAAAAGTACGGTTTACTAATATGAAAATTTTCGAATGCGCTAATGAGAGCCTTAAACAATGTATAGTGCAATGCACTCCTATAAATATAATTAATTCGTTGGAGCAAGCTCGTCATTCTTCATCTTCGAATATGAAGGAATTATTTGAATCTAGTGATCTATCACCTTCAGATTATGAAATGCTTAGAACATTTATCAAAAAAGAACTTGAAACTTTAACAGGCAAGTAAAACATATTATTAAAATCAAAAAGATAAATGAATTTGAATTTATATTTATTTTATTTAATAGGACATGGAAAAAGTCAGGAAAATTTCATGGATATTCTTATGTCTTTACCAATATGGCCAATACATTCTGATGAAAAAGACATGTTCATTGATGCCAAGTCTGGAATTCTTCTTCCATTTAAGCTCCCATTCTTTTCATTTCGTAGAAAAACCACCTTTTACAAATGTGATCACGAAACTGACTTCAATACACTTACTAGCTTAAATGCTCAAACTAAATCTGAATTAGAATATCTTAAAGAATATTTGTTACCAGAATTTATGGATTATTCGAAACCCATAGATTGTCCAGGTTACGTCCCTTTCTTGTTAAAAGTTTTATCTTTAGAAAATTCGGAAATTGAACAATATCTTAAACAACAGAGAGTGATACCTAATAGATCACTTGAAGATTTTGTAAGTGCCAATGAATTATATGACATGAACGAGCCCTTATTCCGCAGTATTTTTGCGGATAGCGACAAATTTTTACCATCAGAATTACAAAATGATTCCGTTTGCCTGGAAGCTCTTGTAAGAATTGGTCTTAATCGTCAAGTAAATCATAATACATATATCAAATGCACAGAATCATTGGTATCACAGATTAGAAATATTAAACGAGGTATAGTTACGATTGAAAAAGTTAAAAATCGTGCAAAAGTATTAGTACGTTGTTTATACGAAAATGTCGACACGTTAAATTTTAACGAAGAACAATGGAACAAAATTCTGGATACGAAATTTGTTCCATCAGAAACGAATCTTCCTAGTCAACTTTATCATACATCAAAAGAGACTTCAGGGTTTGAAAGTTTTAGAACACTTTGTTCTCACAAATATAAGAAAGTATGTTGGAGTAAACGTCCATTATTTGATGAAAATATTGAACCCATTACATCTTTCAATCAGCGTTATCCAAATATTGGAATTCCATCTACCGAAGATATTATTGAACATTGGTTTTTTATTGTTGACAATATAAATTCATGGAAATCTCTCGAATGTAAGGAAATAAAAAGTGTAATTAAAGAAATTTATGAAATAATGAATGAATGTTCACAAGATGAAAATCAAAAGGTGTTGATTGGTTTGAAGATTAAAAATAATAAGAGGAAATTATTCTTGATCGGAGAAGATCCGTTTAATGTCGATAATTGGGAAATAGGAGAAAAGCTTATAATTGGTTTACATGATAAAGTTGAAGAATATTTAAAACCTTACGAGAATTTATTAGAACTTGCTGGGGCTCGCAAGTTAAATGAGATCAAATCAAATGTAATAATCCGAGAACATGATCAAAAAGATATATTGTTTGAAGCTTTATTGAACAAACTTATTATTCAATCTAGCAATGAATATAACGATGTCATTTTTATTGTTGGTAGTGAGAAGGAACAAATTGGTGCCAGTAGATATGTGCTTTCAGGTACGTTAGAAATATTTCAGCCAATTTTTTTTTTTTTCTTTCTCCATTAAGTAATAAATTTTTGTTTTCAAATAGCCGCATCGCCTTACTTTAATACGATGTTTTGTGGTGGCTTTAGTGAGTCAGCAAGCAAAGAAGTTAAAACTATAGAATTAGAAGATGTTCGACCAGAGGCATGCCGGGTATTTCTTCAATGGCTTTATGGACAATCTTTTGAAGAAGCAACAAAGTCAGCCTTACGTAAGAAAGAAAACTTTACAGACGAACAAGAAAGTTATGAAACTTATTATTTATACTTTTTGGTTCATTTGTTAAAGATAACTGATATCTATGGTGCTGACGCACTCAAAGATAACGTGGAAGATACTATTATAAAAAGTCATGTTAATGTTCATAATGTATGCGAAATATTAAAATGGTCAAAACAAAGCAAAGCACCACAATTAATAAATCACTGCGAACAGTATATTGAATCAAATAATAATATTATTTTAGAGCAAAGATTAGAATATATGAATGGAGAGGATGAGGATGAAATATCCGAAGAAACAGAAATGGTAAACACGTTACTTGAAAGATAGATTATTTAAGGGATTATTATGTTTATTTATTATTATTATGATTATTTTTATTTATTATTTGTAATTATAAATTTATCAATACATTACTGGATTATTAAAATATAATAAATCTTATTGATTGGCAAAACAAACGGTCGAAACTAGGGTTGGATCGGTCCGTCCAAGATTTGTTTTCTTCTTGAACCTCTAATATTTTATAAATAAAACAATTCAATTTATTTAGTATTTTATAAAATTAACCTTAATTTAAAGTAATATGCTATAAATAATAAAGAGGACCGGTCCAGACCGATTCTCAGAATATGGACCGAGGACAGGACCGGTCCCATTAACCGGTTTAAGACCGGTCTTACCAGGACTGATTATAAAACTAAAATTTATCAATCTACAGTATTACTTAATCTTATTTTATTTAAATTAAGATTATTTATAATTTTTAATAATATTTTTATTTTTAGACTGATAAAAATTAAATGTAATAGCTTATTGGTCACGATTCAAATTTTTATATCTACACGTGATCGTCAAACAGGATTTTTTATTATATGGGAAGTTTGGAAATGTGTTTTGAATAGCAAACCTTCCATATAGCATAGATTTATTATGCTTCAGTTAAATTTACATTCTTTTTATTGAAGGTTCATTCGTTTTTTGAAAATTTTATTTTTTAAAAAAAAAGGACAGAATGAATTAATATAGTCAAACTTTAACGAAACCATTGAAGTATTTATTTATTTTTTTTTTTTTTTACTGTTTATAATAAGGGCTTAAAAAGGGCTTGGTCTGAGGAAGATAAAGAGGGGAAGCAGCTTTTTATGGTCCAAAATTAGATTTTGAAGCTCAGGCTGCGGACGGAAAAATACAATTTATCGTAACTCATTAGAATATAATAATAATGGAAAACATTCAGATAATTACGACGATTGAACCAGAGTAAAAAAAAAAAAAAAATAAAATAAAAAAAAAAATGCAAAAATTATAATAATAAATTAGGGAACCTTTGAAAGCGAATAAACTCGAAAGAAGTACCTAAATAATGCAAAATTTGAAAAAAAAAAAAAAAAAAAATCATCAGTCACCGTGTCCCGAAGCAATCCAATAATAATAATAATAATAATTTAATAAAAAAACGTATGATCCAGCTTTTTGGCATTCTTTATTATGCTAAATAATTATCTTAATTAGCTTCAATATATGGTGATATAAAATTTGAAATAAAGTTTTTATTTTTCGGATACTTTTGTCCGGGCGTGTAAATATAAATTTCCTTCGTAAATATACACTAGATACCGACTAAGTAAATATAGTATAGAAAAATTTGGGGCCCTCTTCCTTCAGCCACATGTGAATCTGGATATAGTATGAATAAGGCTATAATCATTAAAAAGTCCTCTAGAACAAAAGAAGTTGCATCATCATAAAAGATATCCATGAGATCATTGATTTGAAGATCGTACGGAATATTGTAAACAAAAAGATTCAAATTTACTACATTAATAAAGAAAATGCTATAAATTGTATCAAGAAGGAACTCATATTGTAGCAAGATAAAGTTACCAAATATTTAAAGTCAACTTTTGGGTTTCAGACCTGCACCGTATGTTTTTTTTTACTTTTATTTGACTTTTCAAGAGATATTTAAGTATTATTGCAATTAAAGTTAGCGGGTCTGAAATTTTTTCAAGTCCCCTAGAACAAAAATATATTGGCTTATTTAAATGACTTTGTTGAAGTTTATAGATTTCAAATTATGTTGATAAATAAATTTACATACACATTTTTTTTTTTGCTTTAAATAGACAAAAGGCAATAATAGTAATCACGTATACAGATGATATTATAACCTCCTCGTCACAAATTCTATCCTATAGCCATAATTGCAATTTAGAAACGGTAAAAGTATTTTATATTGACGTGGATGTTGTAATATATTCGGCTTAATGACTTAAATTTGCTTTTGTTGGAAGTAAAGTTTTCTTTCGATGATTAGTTTTATTTAGAACCATTTTCGAATTTAACATTATAAAGTCACACTTTTAACATGGTAATCATCCATAGGCGAAGGTAAGGAATTTTAAGAAATGGAAGAGGAGGACAGCTGTAGAATAGGATTTCCATTGGAATACAAATTGCATTTCAATATTTGAAAGTTTTTTAAAATAATTTCAAACGAAAGTACTATTCGACGATCGATTCTTTTCTTTTTTTTTTTTATTTATTTTTTTTATTTTAAAATATTAAATTATTAATAAAAATAAACAATCGATCGATCGATAAGATGATTTATTTTCTATATCCGAAATGAATATTAAATATGTATTTTCGAATTTTATTTAAATGCAAGTGAATTAGGTAATCGGTGGCTTAGAAATTTAATGTTACATGATTTACCAAGTGCGTTTTTTTTTTTTTTTTTTTTTTTTGCTTTTTTCCAAGAATTTTATCATTTTATAAAATTAAAAAAAATCAAAATGCAAAATGACAATAATTCAAATAGGTGGATTAATTGGATAGAGGAATATATTTTAAAAAAAAATATCAAATGCTACGAATATGAACATTTTAGTAATGTTCAAGAGGTCGGTACTGGCAGCTTTGGAAAAGTCTTTCGTGCAAATTGGAAAAGTTCAAAACAATCTCTCGCGTTAAAATCCTTTCATAACCTTAACAATGCCACTGTTAAAGAAATAATTCGTGAGGTAATTACAAATCATAAAATATTTTTCGGTCTGTTTAATATGAATCATTAATATATCAAGCTAAAATTTATTTTTAGCTCGAACTTCAAAGAGAAGTCGATTTTCATGATAACATTATTCGCTTTTGTGGGATAACTTCAAAACAAAGTATGTAATGTTCATTTATTGAAGATATATATTGACCTTTTGATTTTTATTTATTTTATTTTTAAAAATTAAAAAAAAAAAAAAATTAGAAAACAATGCTCATTTGAAAAAGTATTGGTTAGTAATGGAATATGCTGATGGCGGTTCACTTAGAACCTATTTGAAAAATAATTTTGATAGGCTTACTTGGGATGATAAATACAACTTTGCATTCCAGTTGGCTAGTGCTGTGTCATGTCTACATGAAGAAGGAATTGTACATCGTGATTTGGTAATCTTACATAACATATATATCTTAATTTTGTTTATTATTGCTATTAAGAATTGAATTAATTAATAAACAATTTATATGTTATAGCATTCAGACAATATTTTAATTCGTCAAGGTAGTATTAAACTTGCTGATTTTGGATTATCGAAGAGAATTGAAGCGGCATCTAATCAACAGTCAAAAGTCTTTGGCGTAATTCCTTATATTGATCCAATAAGATTTGGTGGACGAAATAAAAGTGCTATTACTTCGCAGCAAGATAATCTAACCGAGAAGAGCGATGTTTATAGTGTTGGCGTGTTGTTATGGGAGATGTCAAGTGGTCATCCTCCTTTCGAAGGCTTACCATACGACATTGAATTAGTTATAGATATTTCAAAAGGACTCAGAGAAAGTATCATTCCGGGTACGCCTGAAGACTATGTAAACATTTATACTGGTAAAGGACTATTATAAATTATAAATTTAGGTTTACATTTAAATATAATGTTTTCGATCACTAAATTATTTTTATGATTTTAGAGTGTTGGGACAAAGAGCCAGAAAATCGTCCGTCTATGAACAAAGTAGTTGATGACTTAAATTCAATTATTACAAAAGAAAATATAATAGAGAATGATAAAATAAATAATCAAGAACTAGAACCCCTTTGTTTTAGTATTAATAATTCAAGGGACTTATCTCAAATGATTCAAATAAATGATACATCATTCATCATTTACGATGATACTATTAATAGATTAACGATTACGGATGTTAACATAGATATATTAAACGCCTTAGGAGGATTGCAAAGATATCGGAAATTAAAAGTACTCGAGTGTAATCATATTCAGATAACCTGCTTACCAACTTTACCAAACTCTTTAACGGTACTTGATTGCTCTGGTACTTTAACCTCTAGTATTCCAATAACTATTCTACCAACATTACCCAACTCCTTAAGGGAACTTAATTGCTCTTATACTCAAATAACTATCCTACAAACATTACCCAGCTCATTGACGGAACTTGATTGCGCTAGCACTCAAATAACTATCCTACCAACATTACCCAACACCTTAAGGAAACTTAATTGCTCTTATACTAAAATAACTAAGTTACCAACATTACCCAACTCCTTAACGAAACTTAATTGCTCTTATACTCATATAACTATCCTACCAGCTTTACCCAACTGCTTAACGGAACTTGATTGCTATGGTATTCCAATAACTATCCTACCAACATTACCCAACTCCTTAACGAAACTTGATTGCATTCATACTCCAATAACTCTCCTACCATCTTTACCCAACTCTTTAACGAAACTTAATTGCTTTTATACTAAAATAACAATTCTACCAACATTACCCAACTCCTTAAGGTAACTTAATTGCTCTCGTACTCTAATAACTATCCTACCTAAATTACCCAATTCCTTAACGAAACTTAATTGCTCTTTTACTAAAATAACTAAGTTATCAACTTTACCAAACTCCTTAACGGAAATTAATTGCTCTTATACTCCAATAGATAGCTTACCAAATTTACCCGATTCCTTAATTATTATCAAACCTGAAACTTTACGAATCCAATACTTCAATAACAAAACTAATAGTTCCTGTACTATTGCCTAAATCTTTACCTTATACCTTTCTTTAGAGGAGAAAAGGTATTATAAGCTTTCATATAATTTAAACTCAGATTGTTAAGTTATCCTAATATCGATACATTCATTAAACTTTGCAATACATAGAAAATTTCAAAGTAAGTTATTTTCTTTAAGAATTAAGGCTTTCTTTTATTCTTAATATAAAATGACTATTGTGAATGCAAGTAAAAAGGAAAAATCAAAAAATTGAATTATGCATATTCAAGAAATTGGCAAAGTATCCCTTTCA